ATCGACTTCGGAACTGCCAGTAATAGAGTTAACTGACACATTTCCTTGATTTTTTCTAGATGAAGCTTCTAAAGAATCAATCATAGAAGCTTCCTCTGGTTTGGCTTCTATGGCAACATCTAAAGGTGGACTTTCTCCTACCTTGGTTGCAGATGGCAAAGAGACTAGCCCTGAATCAGGTTGTGTACTAGTTGTAGAAGTTTCTAAAGGACTTAATTTATTAGAGGGAGATACATCTAAATCACAAACTGTAGAAGGACTCCATATGTAACCATGCTCTTTTGTTTGACATTTTGTTAAAGCTTCATTAACTACTGAAGTAGGACTAGCAGGAGTAAATGGCAGAGAAGCAGATTCTCTATGGACATTTGAAGCTGAAAAGCCATGTTTACCACCCATAATTTGACATGGCTTTGGTAATTGGCATTGGGGTACTTCTTCGCATGCTCCTTCAATTAAATCTAAAGAAACTCTTGCACATTCTACTAATATGTCATGTAATATCCATTTTTTTCCATCTCGTTGTTGTCAGCTCTGTTTCTTTTGATGCTGTTACTAATAATGGATGTAATCTTACTCGTTCTAACATTGGCTTAATAGTTTCAGCGAAGACGTGAAAACTTTCTTGATTTTGATCACGACGGCCATAATAGGAACTCAAGTAAGCGAGAAAATTACAAGGATACATGGCATACAGACGGTGAAATAATGCGTAAACACTAACTTGAAGATGTAGAATAAAAATTTCAGGTATATTGCCAGGTTTTTTTGTACTCCAAGATGCTAAGTGTGAGAATGATTCGAAAATTTCTTGAAGGTGAGAACCAATAAGTGAAGGTATTACAGGTAATAATGTGACAATAATAAGAACAGCACTCACTAAGTTTGTTATGGTAGTATCTGTCTTGAGAATATTAATTAAATTGTGCATTATATGATGTTGAGTGATTTTATGTAACCAAGAAGGATGTCTACAAACAATATATCCCAAGAGAGTAAGAGCATCATACCTTGAATTACCTTTTAAACAGTCTGCCAGCTTATCAAACAAATGCTTATCATGTGGTTCTCTAACACCCACAATAATTTCTAAACACTGCTGTGATTGCATAGCTAAAAAGTAATCTACTAGGCCATGTAACAACCATGCTTCTTTAGTGTTATTCAGTTGTTCATGTATCAACATTTTAATTTCTTCCACCACATGATTGTCATTTGTCTCCAGTAAAGAGAGCAACTCCACAACTTCTATATGATGAGTTCCGCTCTTTGCTTGCTCTTTCTTCTCTCCCCGATGATACATAATGAAAGTTATTTTAATAACTGCACCAATTGTCACATCCCTTGAATCCTTAACTTCCCGTCAATCAGATGATCCTTGTCTAATCCTTGAGCGGATTGTTTTCTCTCTGACGTAGTCTAACTCCGACTTTAGTCTAACTCCGTTCTAGAGATTACAGATATATAAATTCAGTCTGTCTACAAATTTTTGAAAATTGCAACCCAATTGGTAGGGATCGCAAAATGTTTGTGATAATTGTGTGACAGTTTAAAGCTTTGTCCCGTGTCTTCTACGGTATAAAATGCAAATTAATTTTTTGGTTTTCAAATGAATATTTCTATAATACAGTACATGGTTACTTACTCCCATTTAGCTTTTGATTATTCGAAATGAATCTCTGATGTCCTAAAATGTCATTATTTGATTGGTGTTTGCAATTAGAAATTGGGAGAGGAGGCCAGCTTAGCCTCAAAAACCATTGTATCTTAGCAAACTTGCGGACTTCCACGCCATTTAGCATTTTATTACTTATTTTAGAAATTCTGTTTTATATAGAATACATTCCAACATTTTAAAAGATAAGAAAAAGAAAAGCAATATCTCTCAAAGACACTCTAATAAAAAAATTCTCACAATCAGATTTATTTGGAAAATATTTTTAAAAATAAAAATGGTCTTCGATTATGATAAATATCACAAAATGCAATTAGAAACATCATTAGAATCTTGTCTTTCCCTTAATGAGTATATATGACAATCACAAAAATAATCCTAATAAGAAAAACTAGTGAATGTCCCTTTTAAATAATTTGGTAATTACAATTTTAATTTTATTATTAATTTAATAATAAGTAGTAAGAATTTCTTTAAGAGAAAACATTTATGGGAAAAAAAAGGAATTTAATTAATATTTAAAGTTAAATGACTAATTATTGTAATTAAATTACAGCATAAATGTTTTAATTATTTAATGCATTAATATTAAATTATATTTTATGTACATTATCAATTGGTGTATGTTCAATGCCCAAAATATAATTTGCAAATGAGTAAGCAAGGCTTCCAGTAGTAGTGGATAAAATGGTCTTATCCAGTTCAATATACAAAAAAGTAAATGTGTGACCATTTCAATTTAAATTTTCACAAGAAAAAATAGGTCATTTTGAATTTATTTTTAATTAATTAAATTATTTTTTGTAAGGAAACTCCTCTAATGTAAAATCTTATCCAAATTGCTTTTCTAGAGTAAATCTTTTCAAAAATTCTCCTGTTTTTGGAGTTAAACGTTATCCAGTGAATCAACTGGAGAAAAAGTTTTGTCTGAAATCAACTGGAGAAACAAGTGTATGTATACTCCAGAAGTGTAAAGTTTTTGAAAATTTTTTGCTCCAAGAAAAAATAATTTAGGTTAGATTTTAAATTTTGTTTACATGCTTGGTAATTCTAACTACCATACTACTGAATTTATAATCAAATATTTCTAGAATAATTGTTAACTGTATCAAATTTTGTATTTAAGGTATTTAATGCTGAATGTTTTCAAGTGTCATTCAAAATCAACTTTATAATTCTGTTGTGATCATTAATTTTTTTAAATTTTCTATTTATAACTTTTGCTCCAATACGTAGACACTTATTTTTGAAATCTTATGACCTAAAATTTTATTGGATTTAACTATTATAGAGAGGAATTTTAAATTTGAGTTTAGAAAATTTCTAAAACATGCTAAATTTCCAAAATGATCAAATTAACTCAAATTTTTGATCATTTTCCTGTAAAGTACAAGAGAAATCTTACAGCCAGAAAATAGTCATTTGTATACCATAACATTATTACATATTTGAAAAAATCAATTTATAATCAACTTAGAGTAGAAGACTGATAACCTATTAAAAATCTTTTTTTGATAAGATTTCCTTCCTTTAATATCAATAAAAAGGATCATTTGCAGCACCACAAATTTAAATCAATGCTCTTAAACAACGGTGGGCAACCCCCGGCCCGCGGGCCAGCTACGGCCCGCGAAGAGTTTCTATCCGGCCCGCGAGATGTTTAGAAGAAATTATAAATAAATATTTTTCGATGTAATTCTTCTAGTTTAAATTGAATATTATTTTCTGAAGTGTTGCGGCAGCAATGACAGGAAAAAATAAGGGAGTTATTTCCTTATTCAAACAAAAAATGGGAGAACAGAATGTTTCTAAATTATTTATATCTCATCGCATCATCCATCAAGAAAATCTACGTGCAAAAGCTATGCAATTAGAAAATGTAATGTCTGTCGTATCCAACTACATAGTGCTGTTTTTATTGTGTTTAAAGTCACTTAGATTTTACAAATAGGTGAGCCGTTCACAGCCCGCACACGCATTTGTAAAATCTAAGTGACTCATACAACATGGAATTCATATAAAACGGAATAATCAACTGTGTTATAGTGGGATCGACTGTAGTAATTAATTTCTTTTTATTTATTTATTTCATATTTGCAGACTAAAAATTTACAGGTCACAAGGTGTCAATTAACTACTATGGCCCGCGGAAAAAAAGTAAAATTTATTCTGGCCCATGTTATAAAAAAGGTTGCCCACCCTTGCTCTTAAACATCAATTCTATTTAAATCAAAACATTTACTTGAATAATACTTGAGGTTTTAGGGATATTCTATACTTTAAATAATTTCATTTAAACCATTAATTTGTAAGAATGTATATTTGAAAATGGAAGAGATTCTAAAAATCATAATGGCATTTGGTAATCTAATCGTAATAAATGGCATTTAATTTAATATTGATTTATATTCAATTTTTGAAGTTAAAATATTCAAATTAAAGTTCCATTAATGAATATGGCACTTGAAATAAAGAAATTGTTCATTAATCTAACTTGTCTTTCAATATTGCACCAATGTTTTATCTCGATCTTTCTCTTCATAAAACAAAGTTTCTTATTTCCACTTATTTCATTGGAAAATAAGTTATATAAATACATCAGTCGTTACTTTGAGTTTGCTATAGAAGATTAAAAAAGTGTGAATGGATTTTTGTTTAAAGAACTCTTAAGATAATTAGCTTAATTTACAAATTTGAAGTTTGAATTTTTCTACACATTTAATGATTAAAATTTGGTAAATCAATTCTAAAAATTTGATAAGATCATCATAAATCATTATTGAACATAATGTTTTGATTACAACAAATCTCATTTCAAATTCTTCTACAAGTTATTTAATTTGCAAAAACATGATATATACAGCATATTTTAAACAACATTATTAAGAAACCTAAAAAATATTTTTTAAATTTTAAATAAAATATGCTGATAAATTTCTAATGGCACTATTAATATAACAGCATTAGAACATTATGTTTATATTCTGTAAGAAGATGAGATTCATGCCATACAGTAAAACCAGAATTGAAAGTCCACAGGCTATGGTTGTCTTAATTTTATCTATTATGCCTGACCTAATCTGCAACAGAGTTAATCAGAATGAGGGAGATATGGGAATGGCAATTGGCATTCAATTTAAACTACTCATGATAACATTTAACAACTCAAAACTGATTCAAATTCAACTTCATAATGTGCATTTGTAATATGAACAATAGCATATACTGGCATTTCTCAACACACATGCAGCAACAAAGAAATGCCTCTGCTGTATTGCAAAAATATTAAATATTTTTAAAATTTTGAATAAGCTTCTTTTTTTTAAATTCCATTTATCTTTCATCTTTTAACTACAGATCAACTGAGAGGAGGAGGTATTCACTAAAATGCCAACTGTTACAAAATTTGCAGAATCGGCAAACACCCTCACAAAAGTGGCATGCATCTATGTGTCTGCCAGCATACCAACTCTTTGGAGCTTCTATTAACGTTGCAGTTTACTGGCTTAAGAACCGATACTAGCTCTTTACGCATTGATTCAAATAGTCTTTATTTTCATAGTACATTTATACAATTGTGAGTTTTCCTCTCGGTAAGTTTAACTTTTGTATTATCAAAATTTGTTTTTAAATCAATCATAATTTATTTTAAATTTTAAGCAGATAATAAAATGGACAAGTTTTTTATTAGAAAATAATTTTATATGTTTCTATTTTAAAAATTATGGAATTTAATGTTGCAAGAATATAACTAAATTCAAAGTGTGTTGCTAGTCTGAAAAGGTTGGGAAACACTGGTATACTAAATATACTACTAAATTTGACAAATCATGAAAATTTTTGTATTAATCTGTTTAAATTTTCATAAACTCTGGATTGGAAATATTATTACAGTATTACTTTAAAAGATTATCAGTCTTCTAATGTAATTCCTTATGTTATTGGTAAGAGCAAAATTTATCATCCAGTTGAACTGAAAATATTTCATTTTTTTCTGCAGCTATGTTTGAAAATGTCTGGTCTAAATAATTTATTAATTGTCTCAAATGTATATATTATGTATGAATTTCTCTCAACTGATATGTTTTCTGACATGAATTCTAATTAGGATTCTAAAATATTCAGAATTAAAACAATTTTCTCATAGAAAAAGTGTTATCACATTTACTTAAATTGAAAATCAGATTTTTTATTTATTATTATTTACATAAGAGGAATTAATTTATTAGTTCCCTACATTTAAATTGAATGGACGAAATCAAAATTATGAAATTAGTATTTCAAATAAATAATCACCTAAATTTTATTTTAAAAATTATTTATAAAATGTGCTTATAAGACTTGGCCATTACTAATTTCAAATAATCAAATTTAAAAGAACAATTTTTGCAACATTTATTTAGTACAGCCTAATAAATAATTGTGTAATTTGGAATTTATAAACAGGTATCTAAACTAGTTACTTTTGATTTATATCTATTGAAATTTTCTAGTCAAATGTTCAAGTATACCTAAGTTTTAAAATTTTGTTTTATATTCTATTCATTTATATGATTTATGTTCAATTATTAGAATTATAAAGAAATTCAAAGTTAAGATGTTAAGAAGTAAGTGTGTCTTTCAAATAAATATCTTAAAATATATACATACACACACACGACTTAATAATTTAAGTTCAACAGCAGTATTCAAAGAGAACAAAAAAATTTCTCATTTTTCAATTTATATAAAGTTTAAAATATTTTATCATAGTTTTTGAATTACAATAAAATAGAACGTGTGTGAAACAATCTGCCAAACATCAGATATCATTATTATATCGTGAAAATTACAATGTTCAAAGACATTTTGCAAATGCTATAGTTCAAGAAAAATCGAGCAAGGTTGTTAATGTATTATGTTGAGTTTTGTAAATTCAATGATTAATCAAGTACTATAATGTTTTAAGTTTTCCTCTTAACAAATGATATGAAAAAATTCTAGCATAAATATGTTTCATGAGATTAGTAGATGATTAATCAGTGAAATATAACATTTTGACATCAACCTTCATATATAGAAAAAGGTAATAATAGTATTTTAACTGTAATTTTTGAGTTTCTTAAATGATCTTAGAGTAAGTAGGACAATATTTCAGAAAAAAAAATTCAATTTTAAGTAAAAGTGAATTTCTCTCTTGAAATATTAATTAATTAATACTTAATCATCATGAAAGATTTAAAAATTTATGTTAATTTATTTAACTTTAAATTTATTTAGTTTCAATGTATCAAATTTCTATGAACTAAAGTTTTTGTAATTTTTGTTCATTTTGCTGTGCCAGAATATTTTTATAAAGTTTTTTCATATAGAGGAAAATTTCCATTTTAAAAACAGTTTAATGAATTTTGTGATAACTAAAACAGAAACTACAAACATTTTCTATTACTAAATTATATTATAGGGTTTCAAAAATTTGATACTTTTCTTTAAACTACAATGATAAAGAGTAAACATTCTGAATGTATGTATATAAAGTTCATATTAGAATATTCTAGAATTTTAAAATGGTAATTTAATAATTTTTAAAATTCTCTATTTCAAATTTTTATGATTTAATTAAAAATTCTTGATGAAAAAATGAAATTTTGAAAAGATATAAAGTGGTTTTCTATTCGTAAGTAGTCTTTAAATACTGCTGCTAACTATTTAACTATATTACTAAATTATTAATTAAATAAAAATACGGTAATAAATTATGCTTTTGTTTTGTATGTATCGTTCATTTAAATAAAAAGTATTTCTTTTTTCCCGACAACACTTGATAATAGCTCCTTTGTTAATGCCATCGAGGCGATTCACTTACTGTATCTCTTCATTGCATTCAGAGTATCGCAACGATTCATTTGACTTCTTTAAAAACAGCTCACTGTCGATCAAATGATCACATAGGCAGAATGATCACAGATTTAAAAGTACATTTGTGAGAGGATGTTGTACAAATGAGAAGAGAAAAACCAAGTTGGGCTTCCTGGTGACTTAACACTTACTATTTACAGTATGAAATCAATCTTCTTTGTGATCTTTTATGTGATTCACTGCAGTCTTTTTAGATGGTAGTCCAATTACTATTTCTTGATCTTTTAAATCCCAAACAATAGTGGCATGAAATGCCATGTTGGCAAAACATATTACATATTCACAAAGAGAAAACCAGCTGAAAGCTGAAACAAAATGAAATGTTTTAGAAAATATTTATTTTTATAAAATTTAAAGCATAAATTGTTCATATATAGAAATAAATTTCATTTTCTAATATAAATATTGATCATATAAAATAATGGATGCAATAATATTAATTATACCCTTAAAATTCAAAATACTCTCAGCATAAAATAGGAAATATTATATATCTTACAAAAGAGTTGTTCTTTTGAGCTTGACATCAAAAACTTTTAAATATTAGACAATTTTTCCATTTATTATTGTATTAATATTAACAAGTTAACAAAAAATTGTATTATACATATGAAAGTCAAAAATTATCCTCATTTTTGTCTTAACACATTGTTAGGTTTGTCACACTACCTTCTGTGCATGAATGTTTACACTTAATACTACTGTGGTCACATTATCAAAGTTTAACCTTGATAGCACCATTTTTCTTGTTTCTGTTTCAGTGTAAATATGGCCACTCTGCTAACAGTGTGTACTAAGGAGAAACAAAAAGCAGTGATCTGATTTCTCTGGTTGGAAGGTGTATCATGGGCTGAAATTCATCAGAGACTTACACACACAATATGGGAACAGTGCTCTACCACACAGAAGTGTGTATGAGTGGATTGAGAAGTTTAAAAGTGGGCAGATAAGCGTAATGCACGAAGAAGAGCAGAACACCTATCAATCTCCACCACTGACAAGATGACAAGATGATTCAGCAAGCTCAAGAAATGGTATTGGCAAACTGACAAGTTACCATTGACAATGTAGTGTGTTCTCTGCAGATTAGTCATGATTCTGCCTATCAAGTCATCCATGATGAGCTCAGCTTCCATAAAGTCTGTGTGAGATGGGTGTCAAGAGAGCTTATACCAAAGCATAAGTGCAAATGTATTGAGATCTGTCAACATTTACTCGACTGCTACAACAATGAAGACAAAGCATTTGTCAGTCACAGGAGATGAAACACGGGTCCATAACTATGAGCCAGAATCCAAAAAGTAAAGTATGGAGTGGAAACATCCAAGATTTCCAACAAAGAAGAAATTCAAGACTCAGCCTTCCATGGGAAAGGTGATGCCAAACATTTTTTGGGACACACAAGGGCCTATACTGGAAGACTGCCTGGAAAAGGACATACAATTAACAGCGCAAGATACAGTGATTTGCTGGCCAACAATATGAAGGCAGCAATTCACACCAAATTTTCAGGCCTATTGTTGAAAAAATTGTTGTTGCTGCATGACAATGCACGTCCACACACAGCCAGCCTGACCATTGAAACCATTACCCATTTGGATTGGAATACCCTGCCTATAGCCCCATCTAACTATCATCTTTTTGAACCACTCAAAGATGCTTTAAGAGGTCGTCAACTTTCTATGGACAAAGAAGTGTGGGAAGCTGCATATAAATGGTTAGGTGACCAACTGAAATCTTCTTCTTGGAGGGAATACACAAGCTTGTAGACTGTTGGACCAAGTGCATTGAAAAAAGCTATGTAGAAAAATGACACACTTGTTCAATCCTTACATTTGTATAAATAAATTGAAAAAAAATAAAGTGCGGATAATTTTTTACTTTCCCTCAATTTATAATATTAATGCAATTGGTGCGTAACCCGGCCTTGTAAATTTCAAGTGCCTCAAGGTTTTGTAGGTGTTCTACACGGTGAGACAGTTTAATCAGTTTGGCCTCATGTAGTCAGCTCTTGAAATTTACAAGGCCGGGTTACGCACCAATTGCATTAACTCTAAGGATGCTGGTAATTTGTCACATGCTTGGAAATTCTGCTATGAAGGAACAGGCAATGACCACAATAGTAGTTAGAAGCCATACCCCTATGTTGTGTATTGATATATGTCACTATAGGAGTGTATGTAGCACATTTATGTCATTATATGTAAGTCAACGTATGTAGCACATATATGTCATTATAGGAACGTATTTTCACATTTAACATGTCGTTGCCATGGCAATGCACACGCTTAACTTTTTATTCTTTTAAATTACGTTGGTAAAGTTCCATTTTTTGAAAATAATTTCAGAATTTTTGTTCTATGCATTCACACGTTCGAATATAACTGGTTTTTTAAACCTGAAGAAGACCGAATGTACGGTTGAAAACGTTAGTTTGCTATTAAATGTTTATTACTGGAGTTATAAGGTTTAGGAGTGTTAATTTATACATTCTCCAGTATACGCATAAGAAGATTTGAAATATGACTAATAAAAATTTTTTAAAATATGTACACAACTTTCCATAGTATGACTGGAGATGAACTGCAAAAATTTTAAATGTTGTAACACACAAACTAACTAATGACTGAGATGACAAAATTTACAATGCTGTGTTAAAGTTCACTACAGTTGGAGGTAACATACTTGTGCCACACTTATGATAGATTAATGTTTTCTTTACTGTTAATCATTAATACAACCTCCCTTGAATATTGCTTTATAAATTTTGATAGCCGAAAAAGATCTCTGAAAGTGATTGAAAATGTTTGTTTTTTCCAATAAACAGACCTGTTGGAACCAGTACGGAAGGTGTCAGAATGTTTATTCTAAAAATTTAAATAATCCTAACTGTTAATTTTAAGTTCTATTTTTAATTTTTTAATTTTCTTTTATATAAAAGTTTTTAGAATTTAGAATGAATTTAGAATAATTTACATTTAAAAATGTAAATTATTCTAAATTCAATTGTCATTTGTTTTGTTCTATTCTATAAATTATTCTAAGTTCTTCATAAAGAGCTGATAGACTAAATAGGTCTGAAAGCATCACTTTTTGAATAAATTTATTGGTTTCCTCAACTTTTTGTGTGTGTTGAATTTTAAATTTCCCTTATCTAATAAGTAATGTGTATGTTACAGGAGAAAGAATAAAAATTTATGTTGTGAATGTATTAATTAAGTGTTTAAAAGTTATGTATATGTTACTGCGAATGACCAATATTTGGCGAATGTCAACATTCTCTGGTGAATGTCAGCATTCACACAGTTGTTTCGTGTATGTATGAAATATTTGCTAAATATCATTATTTCTCACTTACACTGGCAAATGTCAACATTCAGCATGCACTGATGGTGAATGTTAAATAAAAATATTTTTATTATGTTAAGACAAAAATGCAACTTTTTAATATGTCAAAAAAGGAAAAACTTAAGTAACAGCACATTCTAAATCATTAAAGAAAATAATACAATAATAAACTTACACATAAATTATGTGATTAATGTTATACAATCTTATTTGTTGTAACAACTTAAACTGTTATGGCACTTTGAATTGCACAAGAGTCCCTTGCTTTTACAACTGCATTTATTCGTGGAACACTTCTTTTTGCAATGACAGCGTGTATAGTCTTGCCCTCCACTTTTCAAATTACCTGCAGTTGCTTCTCTCAGCGATATTCCTTGAAAAGAAATCTCATGTATGGAAAGTAACTTTTCTTTACAAATTATAAACTGATTATGTTATTACGTGATTACAAACTGATCTGTTAATGGTATCTTTATTCGGATATTACCAACGACCCCTCTCATCCTCCATCACTCGATGCGACAAATCGATCCCCACTCCACGAGATCAAAAGAACAAAAACGCCATCCGGTGACAAAGTGGGCAGTTTCCACCAAACTGTTGCCGGGAAAAGAGGTACTGTACAACTTTGTCCTATCTCCACAAAGTATTTGGCAACAGACTATCGCCTCTCTGTCGACATCGGCTTCTCAGGTGTCGTTTCAACCTCCACCAAAGCTTGTCTGTGCTTGTCAACATACACCGGCGATTGTTCAAATATATAATAATATAACCAAATATTCAGTCTTTCACCAATGTATTTTGTATGTGTCAACATTCACCAGAGAATATCAACATTCTCTAATTTCAGTCTTTCACAGTAACATATATATCTCTTATTTTCATAACAATATCTCAATATATGTATATATATGTACTGTACAGTACAGTGAAATCTCCATAAATGGACATCTCTACTTAACAGATATTTTTACAATCCCTAGATTCAAATAGGACATCTATTATATTTACCTCTAAATAAAAGACACTCTAAAATAATGGATGCAGTCATCCATAACCAACCTTACAAAAATGCAATATTCTGCCTTCAAAAGAATTAATTATGCATGAAATATTTTAAAACAAAAACAAAAAATGAGTTCAAATACTCTTTCAGACAATAAATTTTGACTGTAGGCATCAAATAAAGACTGGCTTAAAATAGGAATATGGGAGAAGGGCAGGTTACAAGAAGTTGAATAATAGTCTTTATCTGTTAGAGAAGTTTAATCTGATTAACTTTTCAATCACCATATGTTGTTAATATATTAATGTTATTAAATTTCTGTCTTATTGTTAGAATTAAGCTTATGATACCAAACCTATAAATTTTTCCGAAGTTATTCATTCATTTGACAAGAACCACAGTATAGTATTAATAAAAAAGAAACTTAAAATCATAAATGACATCATAAACGTAAGAAAACCAAATATCTTCCCACACCTTAAAGTGGTTGCCTTTGTAATATGATCTTCGAACATTCACCAAACAAACACTGTTCTTGTAACTGTTTTAATAGCTTTGTGGTGGCTAAAGCATAATTTTTAATAAATCAGTTACTGAAAAAAGCAAGATGTTTGAAAAGTCACACCTACTTGATAACTACAAAGCAGACAAATTCCTATATTGATTTTTATTTGTTAGATCATAAACAACGTTATAAATGTAACAATTCTGAATATGTTCCCTACCCCTTGAATTGGATAGCAAATCATCTTTGTTACTCGACATTCAAATGAGATTCAATTGAAATGAGAATTTTACAGCTGAAAAAATAAATAATATATTGCATATATACATGGTATGTATACTTTCTGGAATATTCACATTCCTAACACAAATTTAATGTTTTTGTAATCCATCATACTCTTCACTACATGATGACCAGTTTAAAATACAGTATAGCCAGCAGCATGTTCCTCTGAATAACAGACACCTCTAAATAGTGGACAAACTTCTCAGTCCCCATGATGTCCGTTATTTGGAGATTATACCATATTTACATACGTATATGCATTGGTGTATTGATATATTGGTACAAATTTGATTATATATAATCAAATTCTACCAAGTTATCATTAAATGATTATAAAGTTTATCATCAAGAAACATTACCATCATAGAATTGCCAATATACTATTATCAACTATATTGTTAAATTTCATTTAAATGTCATCCTGTTTTTCATTATACAGAATAAATTTTTTTAAATTAATTAATATATTACTTACCCATTTCAACACAATACACTCTATGCTTATAGAAAAAATGCATCATTCCTCCCGAAAACACAATAATGATTGCAAAAAGAAAGAATTTCACTTTCATAGACTTCCTTTCCTAGAAAAATAAAACTGAAATAATGACACATTTCCCTAAATACTTACAAATTTGTTAAAAAATCTGTACTATTGCTGCTTTTTTTCATTTTTTAAAATTAAAATTCTTAAATACTTTTTATACTTAATAATTATTATTCAAACTGATTTATCTAATCAAAGTAATAACAAATATAGTAATATAAATATAAATTTTAGGATTGCTAATTTAATAACAGCCTTTAGTGATAGTTATCAATATTGTAAGTAACAAATCCATATAAAAACAAAAATTATTACTAAAATTAAGAAATAGGTTATTCTAAAAATATATAAAAACTTCAAAGAAGCAGTGCCAAAGTAGTTTTGATTCTGAATTTTATTTAATTTGAAACTGGATTTACAAAACTTAAGTGTGTGACTTCATCACTTCATTGATATTTGTGTTCTGTGTCTATTGATTCTTGGCATCTCTACTTTACTTAACATAATTAACTTGAATTAGCAAAGTGTAATTGAAAACATTTCTGTTTCTGCATATTTTTAGAAAAACTTTTTCTAACTGTGTGTACGTGTGTACGTACTATACATATGATTTACCTTCTTGGAATCTGTGCAATTTATTTCAATAAACATCTTATTTTGGTAAACAAAACTTCATTATTTTAAAAACCTTGTTTTGTAAGTTATAATTTATGTACAAATACTCAAAATTCAAATGTTATTTGATTATAAAACAAAGCTTATGTCACTACTATGCATATGTAGCTAGAACTATTTCTAAGACTAACAGCACAAAACCTTTCTCACTAATTTCTAGCCTTATTAACTGGAGTACAAACGTTTTCGGCCTTCTTAATAGGCCTTCCTCGGGTACACTGTGGAGCGTCGTAACACCCCCCCTTCCCATCCACGGTCGTTCGCACGCCTCTTCTTACGGTAGCGTTGAATATTTACGGCCTCAACGAAGACGTCACTCCCCACTAACCCCCTGTGGTGATTGTGCATCTCCTGTACGTAGCGCGCTTACTCTAAAATCTTTTTCCCCAACTTTAGCAAGTATCCTATCTGCACACCTCCCTTCTTTACCAAAAGTATGTAGTTTTTCTCCCTCGGTATCGTATACCTATCATCAACGAAGACGTCACGGGTAAGACGACACCTGGGTAAACATTGGCAGCATTTAAACTTCTTCTAACCGACGCTCCACAGTGTACCCAAGGAAGGCCTATTAAGAAGGCCGAAAACGTTTGTACTCCAGTTAATAAGGCTAGAAATTAGTGAGAAAGGTTTTGTGCTGTTAGTCTTAGAAAGCTTATGTCATTCAAAATTGAAGAATTCTGAAACAATTTTAAAATGCAATTTTTAAAATGAATATTCTGTAGCAAACAGCTGCAACTGAAACTGTTGAAACTGAAGAAGCTAAATGGTAGTCAAAAACATTCTTTCAGTAATAATTAAAGATTGGCTTCTTTAAAAAGCAGTGTCAAAGTAATTGAATTATCAGTATTATGATATATTCTTGATCATTTCTTCTCAATACATATCTTCAGAAAAAGAAATTAACTTTTATAACAATCCTATTTTTTCTATTATCATTAATTATTTTAAGAACTTAAATTTTTCAAAATAAAAAAAAATATCATATATAACTGTTTTGAGGATTTAAAAACTATTTTAACTATTCAAAATGCTTTCTAAACTTTTAAAAGTACAGTCAAACCTTGGTTTTCAAAACTTAATTCATTCTTAAACTTGTTTGAAAACTGATTTGTTCTCAAACCAAAACAAATTTTCCCATAAGAAATAATATAATATGGATTAATCCATTCCTGACCCCCAAAACAGTCTTTTTTTTTTTTTATCTTTTTAGCTGTATTTCAATGCATAAAAATGCCTACAAATGCAATATAATATTATCTATATCCATTTTATGTATATATTAAAAGTAAAATTCACTGTCAACCAAAACCGAAACCATCACTTTACAAAAAGTGCTATAAATAGACAGACAACTCTGAATGCCTGCATGAAATATAACCAAATCAATCAAGACAGACAAGCACTTTATCTATACTTTCTGAAATATTATGTTTCTATTGCTCTGATTTAAATTTTAACCGCTCTTATTTTTAATTTTCATTTCAGTGTAAAAACCAGAGTTTTAATTATTATTTTTAGTTTTAATTAAATGGCTACCTAGTATTAAATTAAGTATTAATAATATAATATATATTATATATTAATAAACTTTTATTATTTAATTTGCATTAAACATCTTTAAAAACAGATTTGTGGATGTCATTTATATTACACGAGTGTTAATTAATATAGTTTCTATTAATTAATTTGATTTAATTCAATTGAGATGCATACTGATAAATGGAAGTAGTATCTTACATGCATGCACATTAAAATCTAATTTGAATAACAATGTCATTGATGGTTCATGTGGTGATGTCTAATGGTGTGAGGCAACTTCTGCACCACTAACTTCTGAATCAGTAGTCCCATCAGTGATTGATCGGACCATCAATTTTCTTTAACATAAGAAATATAGGAAGTTGACTGTCTTTGTCTCTGTAATCAGTGGCCAGCTCTTACCGAGTAGCTTGTTCGACAACCAAGTCATCGTACGGAAACTGGGACACACATTGCGTTCAAAATTTTGTTTGTAAACGAACCTGTTCAAAAAGCGAGGTGTTCAAAACCTGAGGTTTGACTGTATTTAATAAGAAGTTATGTTAAAAAAATAAAACAGGCTTGATTTTTTGCAAGATACTGACACACAAAATTGAAAGTGGTTATGTAACAAAGTTGTCAATTAGGAATTGACTAAAAATGCTGATACTAAGAGTTCTGTTCACCATTCCTTATTCAAATGTAGTATGAAAGAGTCAGTCAGCATAACTGATTCTATAGAAAATCCATTTGGATGAGGAATGGGACAATTATTAAGATTTAACCTGTAAAACTGAAAATATCTAAATCAGAAAGATCTCTTACAGCATAGAAGAATGCTTAGCGCAAAGTAAAATTAAAAGAATAGTATACTCTTAAAATAATGCAATTAGACTTAAAATCTGTGATATAATGTTCTGATTTTATGCAATGAATTGTATTATTCAATTATTTACAGTTAATAATTCAACAAATGGTTTCTTTGCTTGTTTAAAATCTGGACATTAAAAAACAATTATACATACCATATCTGTCATTTCTTTAGGTCTTCCTTTATAAGAAGCTATGCATGTTCCTAACATGTAAGCAACAGATGCAAACATAAAAACAATGAAGATTTTTTCATGAACAGCTATAAAAGAAATATGGCATTATTTCATTAATAAATTCAGCTATGAAAAGAATAAAAAGCTATAAAAAGAATATTTATCATGAAAATTGATTAACAATAATATAAAATTTTAATATGTATAATAAAGCATTTCATTTAAATGTGTTAAATACAATAAACAATTAAAAATTGATGATGTAGATTTACTTATAAGGAGTAAAATTTAAAATTTTAGATAATATATTTCTTTACTAATTATTCTAACAGTATACATTTACAAATATTAAAAGAGAATCTGTGACATGATCTTAATTTGTTTTGAAATATTTATATATTAACTATTTGATGAGTGGGTTTACAGATGGTTATGTAACAAACCCTTTAAAAACTAACCCTTTCCTCCCAAGGGTTAGTTTTTAAAAAATGTAACATTTACAAAAAATTAGTATGTTACCTTCTAATTCACATTTTTTAACTTAATAGGCAATATTTTCTTCTTCAACACAATCAAATCTTCTGATTTGATTGTGCTGAATAACTCCAATAATTAAGCAGGAGACAGAAAGTGTGAATGATGTGAATGACTACTAGATGCCACGTTTGTCTTTATGCTAGAAAATTCTATACTAAATCATGCCATCATGGAAGCATACTACAATGACGCAAACTTGAAGAACATATATACATTAGTGTGTTTGTTTGCTTCTCTGTAAAACCTATCACATGTAACACGTATATTTATTGAAGTACTTATCCAATTGTTTGACTTTACTTATTCAGAAACCAAAAGTAGTAGTAGCTTCTGATAAGACTTATTGCTATCGTAATTATACTCGTAAAACACAATCAAATAGATAAATAGAAATCATAACTCATAATTTTCAAAATCATTCATTTATTTTTATAGAATTCTAACTAATGATCAAATGTCATGAGAAGTATATTAGTTCTTGTTTATAATTATTTTGTTTAAGATAAAATAATAGTTTTATATATATATATGTACAGGAACCAGTCCACAAGAGAAATGCATCTAAGATCTCACCATAACAATATAATTCTGTCAGAAATAAGTAGTTATTCCATTTTATATTACACTAATTAATTTTGTAACACATGGATATTGTAAACTTCAGTTTATTCTGAAAGCTGCTTTGCTAGTTTGCTAGATAAGATATTCAAAATAACTTATATCCTATATGTAGTAACTAGACATGGCATGTAATTTTACAATAATGAGAAGGTATCATTTAGGAAAAATATACTGATTTCCATGTAATGTTTTTCAATGTTCAGTTTTATGGACTTAAAATTCCAAAAATTAGACTTAAATTATAGTAATATTAAGTATAATTTTGTTACAGTTAAATTGTAATATTAAAAGCAAAAAGTACTAATAAATACTGGTAATGAAATTAATTATGGATATATGCAGCAATAATCATATATAGCCTAACTGCTGAATTAATCAATGTAACTTCAATAGTGGATGAAGTTGAAGGTACACTAAAGTTTTCAATCAGTTAATGAACTATTCTCAAGCATGGATAAATACAGTACTACATAACATGTAACTACAGTTCTTGGGAATTCAACATAAAAGCTTCATATAATCTACTTAGAAGAAGCTTTAAAAATTTTTATATCCAAGCGTTCTCAGCCTTTAGCAAACCCTTTCAGCCACTTCAGCAGTTTTTCCTATACAAAACCATAATTTTCCAACGTTAATGTTTAGAAATTCTTAACAACGGCTTGTAATAAAGAGAGATTATTATAGCATCACTTCATATATATTATTTCNTACATTATGTTATTATATATGTAATAATCATTATATCATAAAACATAATAGCCTGAATCAGAGAAACTGCCAAGTCATTGGAATAAACGACTAGTTGTTTATATAAAACTATTTCAGCAGTTATGATATAGTTTACGTCATGCTTATTATGCTAACTGAGTGCATATAAGATATGATAAAAACAGCTTACTCATGCTTATAATTATTGAATTAGAACAAAATAATATTTACTTTTATGATATACAGTGCTGGTTTTTTCATAGTGAATGTGATAAAAATCCTAAATCAATGGGAAAGTTGGCACAGGAAACTGATGTAGTTCTAAGTATTATTACACATAAAGTTAAGACAGAAATAAAATAGGGAATAAAAATTCAAAACTTGCTTTTGAATTAAAACATAATTTTTCAATGTATTTATCACTGTGGAAAAATACATTATATATTATTATATATTAATCCAAAAAATTCTGAATGACAATTAATCTACTACAATTATGTTATTAAAATCCATTTTTAATAATTATAAATTTCAATATTTTAAACCTATTTTATTACATAATTTTTTTATAAATTTTTAGTTAAAACATTCAATAAAAAACATAGTCCACAGTCGCCAAACCTTGCCATCCCCAGAGCCATATGAACATATCAGAAGTATGAGAGAGTCACATCCTTTATTGAAACAGTATTTTATATGTAACCTATATATTATCTACCAGATACCAGTGTTTCTTAATCTGTTTAGTGATCAGCACCCATTGAATCTCAAAATACAGTCTCACACTCCCTCAATGCTGTATTTCAATGTTTTTTTATGAAATCCAAATGAGTTCAAAATGCTAAAGATACAGAGGTTAGTAGTGAGGATCCCAGACATCACCAGGCCTCTGAGAGTACAATGTACAGTACCATCAAATTTATATAGAATAAGACAGCTTAAAATTTAGTATTGCACATCTAAAGGTTTAAAACCTATTGTTACTACTTGCACCTGTGGAAATACTTTCTTGCATACCAGTTTAAGAATCATTGCTTTATACTATCTATATACATAGGTGTATAAGCTTAAATCCACTGTTTCTTAGTCAGAAAAACACACATTTTTTTCTTAGAAAGCAAAAACAACTTTATTCAAAGTACTTTCCCTCACTAGTGACACTTTTGTTCCATCTCTTGGGCAATGTGTGGATACCATGCCAAAAAAATTTCTTCTCTTTCGAGGCAAACCACTCATCAAGCCATTTTCGGACGTCTTCGTAAGAATCGAAGTGCTGCTCAGCAAGCGCGTGGCCCATCGATGAAAAGAGGTGATAGTCAGAAGGGGCCAGGTCTGGTGAATAAGCGGGATGGGGTAGCACCTCCCAGTTGAGTGTCTCCAAGTAGTTTCGGACCAATGTTGACACATGCGATGGTGCATTGTCGTGGAGGAAAATCAGCTTGTCGTGTCTTTGCTGATAATCCGGCCTTTTTTCACGCAGAGCACAGTGCAATTTGATCAGTTGTTGGTGGTAGCGGTGAGCATTGACAGTTTCACCAGGTTTCAACAGCTCATAGTAGACAATACCCTGCTGATCCCACCAAACGCACAGCATTGTCTTCCGTCCAAAGCGATTTGGTCTTGGGAAAGATGTTGATGGTTTGCCTGGATCAACCCACGATTTCTTGCGTTTAGGATTCTCAAAATATATCCATTTCTCATCGCCAGTTACAATCCGATGCAGAAACGACTTTCTTTTTTGTCTGGCGAGCAAGATTTCGCATGTGTTTTGGCGTCGCTCCATCTGCCTATCGTTCAATTCATGCGGCACCCATTTTCCGATCTTCTGAATCTTTCCCATGGCACGTAGACGCATGGAAATGGCTGGTTGAGTAACACCCAATTGCTCGGCAAGCATTTTTTGCGATTGGGTATCGTCCTCATCCAAAAGAGCCTGCAGTTGATGGTCCTCAACCTTCCTGGGCCGATTTTCACGCTTCTTGTCGCTCAGGTAAAAATTTCCATCTTTGAACTGACGAAACCAATCTCTGCACGTGGTTTCCGATAAAGCTCTGTCTCCATAAGCCTCCACAAGCATTCGATGTGCTTTGGCAGCCGATTTCTTCAAATTAAAGCAGAAAAGCAAAGCTTGCCGCATATGCTCTTTTTCTGGCACAAAAGTAGACATGATTACAAAAAAAAATATATGTTGTTGTATGAAATATCTGATGATGTGCACTGATTACTGTTGATAGATGTCAAAATCATCAAAAAAACAATATGGCGTCATCATGGTAACTTAATACGCTCGCTTACGCCATCTATTAGCAAACAGCAGATTTAAGCTTATACACCTGGTATACATATAGAGGAATAGCATGATAGTCAGACCTCACATCCTTAAGTAGAACCCTCTGGCTTATTTTGCAAAAAAAGTGCTGCATACTAGCATTGAGTGGAGTAAATACTTCACAATCTTGTCATCAACCCATGGAATCATTATTACTCAGTTCCTGTTTCTCGTCTATTAAAGTATGTAGATTTTCATTTTTGCTAACCACAAAATTGTTAAAACATGACTTTATGGCATCACTTCTAAACAGGTAAATGTTCATTCCTCATTACCAACATGTACTGTACTTGTAATCTATATATATATATATAAATGGACGTGTGTGTCCCTATATTTCACTTTTCAGCCAAAACTACACATTGCACATGAATGGTGTTTGTATGTGGTACTAGCCCCAAGTCTCCATTCGTGCACTATGGTAGTTGCATCTCGATAGCTATAAGGGTGTGGGAGATATGGGGGCTTAAAGTGGTTGACTTCAAAGATTTTCTATATCGATTTTAAAAATGTTCGAACCATTTTAAATTCGAATTTGAATTGGTTCGACTATAGAACGATTGTAAATGTTCCAGAAAATTGATCAAATTGAAAATAGTTTGTTTGACTGGACGTAGAAATTCTCTAATTAGTCTGGAAACGGAGGACCTAATTCTTGCATTCTGTGCTATAAGGGTGTGGGAGATAAGGGTGTGGGAGATATGGGGTTGAAAGTGGTTGACTTCAAAGATGTGTAACAATGGAAGTGTCAACAATAGAAGTGTTAAGAATGCAAATGTTAACAACGAAAGTGTTGAGTAACAAAGGAAGTGTTAATATAAAGCAGCATGCAAGATTTACAGGCGGTTTTTTGCGTTTTTGCGGGAAATTGAACATATTTTTAGACTCGTAAAAATTCTCTAATAGTCTGGAAACGGGGAACCTAATTCTTTCATTCTGTGAAAACGGGTAAGATTGGCTATAATGTAATTATCTTAATCTTCACTATCGTTACTTTTTGCCCAGAGAAGCGGATCCTTGCAGCTAGATTCTAGATTACTTAGAAAAACAGTCTTTTATATATAAAAAAAACTATATTACATACANTAAACTGTTATCGCACTTTGAATTGCACAAGAGTCCCTTGCTTTTACAACTGCATTTATTCGTGGAACACTTCTTTTTGCAATGACAGCGTGTATAGTCTTGCCCTCCACTTTTCAAATTACCTGCAGTTGCTTCTCTCAGCGATATTCCTTGAAAAGAAATCTCATGTATGGAAAGTAACTTTTCTTTACAAATTATAAACTGATTATGTTATTACGTGATTACAAACTGATCTGTTAATGGTATCTTTATTCGGATATTACCAACGACCCCTCTCATCCTCCATCACTCGATGCGACAAATCGATCCCCACTCCACGAGATCAAAAGAACAAAAACGCCATCCGGTGACAAAGTGGGCAGTTTCCACCAAACTGTTGCCGGGAAAAGAGGTACTGTACAACTTTGTCCTATCTCCACAAAGTATTTGGCAACAGACTATCGCCTCTCTGTCGACATCGGCTTCTCAGGTGTCGTTTCAACCTCCACCAAAGCTTGTCTGTGCTTGTCAACATACACCGGCGATTGTTCAAATATATAATAATATAACCAAATATTCAGTCTTTCACCAATGTATTTTGTATGTGTCAACATTCACCAGAGAATATCAACATTCTCTAATTTCAGTCTTTCACAGTAACATATATATCTCTTATTTTCATAACAATATCTCAATATATGTATATATATGTACTGTACAGTACAGTGAAATCTCCATAAATGGACATCTCTACTTAACAGATATTTTTACAATCCCTAGATTCAAATAGGACATCTATTATATTTACCTCTAAATAAAAGACACTCTAAAATAATGGATGCAGTCATCCATAACCAACCTTACAAAAATGCAATATTCTGCCTTCAAAAGAATTAATTATGCATGAAATATTTTAAAACAAAAACAAAAAATGAGTTCAAATACTCTTTCAGACAATAAATTTTGACTGTAGGCATCAAATAAAGACTGGCTTAAAATAGGAATATGGGAGAAGGGCAGGTTACAAGAAGTTGAATAATAGTCTTTATCTGTTAGAGAAGTTTAATCTGATTAACTTTTCAATCACCATATGTTGTTAATATATTAATGTTATTAAATTTCTGTCTTATTGTTAGAATTAAGCTTATGATACCAAACCTATAAATTTTTCCGAAGTTATTCATTCATTTGACAAGAACCACAGTATAGTATTAATAAAAAAGAAACTTAAAATCATAAATGACATCATAAACGTAAGAAAACCAAATATCTTCCCACACCTTAAAGTGGTTGCCTTTGTAATATGATCTTCGAACATTCACCAAACAAACACTGTTCTTGTAACTGTTTTAATAGCTTTGTGGTGGCTAAAGCATAATTTTTAATAAATCAGTTACTGAAAAAAGCAAGATGTTTGAAAAGTCACACCTACTTGATAACTACAAAGCAGACAAATTCCTATATTGATTTTTATTTGTTAGATCATAAACAACGTTATAAATGTAACAATTCTGAATATGTTCCCTACCCCTTGAATTGGATAGCAAATCATCTTTGTTACTCGACATTCAAATGAGATTCAATTGAAATGAGAATTTTACAGCTGAAAAAATAAATAATATATTGCATATATACATGGTATGTATACTTTCTGGAATATTCACATTCCTAACACAAATTTAATGTTTTTGTAATCCATCATACTCTTCACTACATGATGACCAGTTTAAAATACAGTATAGCCAGCAGCATGTTCCTCTGAATAACAGACACCTCTAAATAGTGGACAAACTTCTCAGTCCCCATGATGTCCGTTATTTGGAGATTATACCATATTTACATACGTATATGCATTGGTGTATTGATATATTGGTACAAATTTGATTATATATAATCAAATTCTACCAAGTTATCATTAAATGATTATAAAGTTTATCATCAAGAAACATTACCATCATAGAATTGCCAATATACTATTATCAACTATATTGTTAAATTTCATTTAAATGTCATCCTGTTTTTCATTATACAGAATAAATTTTTTTAAATTAATTAATATATTACTTACCCATTTCAACACAATACACTCTATGCTTATAGAAAAAATGCATCATTCCTCCCGAAAACACAATAATGATTGCAAAAAGAAAGAATTTCACTTTCATAGACTTCCTTTCCTAGAAAAATAAAACTGAAATAATGACACATTTCCCTAAATACTTACAAATTTGTTAAAAAATCTGTACTATTGCTGCTTTTTTTCATTTTTTAAAATTTTCTCTAAAAAATTTTTAATTAAAAAGGTAGTAAAACAAAAACATTAAAACTGATTAACTTTGGGAACCTAACCTTATGTTTTGCATTAGTTCTTTGTTTTGTACAGCATGGATTCGCATAACAGCACTTTTTTGAAATGTAACCATCGTGTTATACGAGAGATACCTGTATTTATAAATTCATTTGGATGTCATCTACTGTAAGCTACTTTAAAATGTTTGCTACTTACGATAATTCTCTCTGTTCGAAATATACGTTACTCCAACCAAGGACATGATTTCCAAAATGTTAAACCAGTAATTCCATTTTACGATCTTGTCATATTTGGCGCGTTGGCCAGGATCGACATTTGTAACTCTGTGAACAAAATGCTTATGATACACTGATGCCAGAAGCAACCGTGGTGCGCAGTGTAATGCCACACATATTCTCCAAATGTATCTCTGGGGAGACACTCCAGTAATTGCACTGACGGATGGGCAGAAGTTGTAAACCTAAAAATAAACATTATGCAATTTTTATATCAGGATTTGTCATATTTTATTAAATTAAATATAACAAGAACTAAAGTGCAAACTTGGAGGTAAAAATTAATTTTATAAAGCCACTAATTGGATTTTTTGAATAAATTTTTTTCCCCTTTTCATTTTTCTCTTTCTGCCCTGTGGACACTAAGAGAAGAAAGAGTCCTTTTTCCCCATGCTCATCAAGAGTTTGGCAAGGCACACAATGGGTATTGGATGGTGAGGGACAGGGCCCAACACATTTGGGATAGCTAAATACAAAAAATTCCAGAGATGGTTCAACATTATATGATATAGTTAAGATTGTGGGTCATCTAGAAATTAAGTTCTGATTGGTTATAAAGGAACAGAAGCTTACTTCTTTTTATTGTCATAGGAAAAAAAACATAGTTACAGCTGATTTTTAATATTTACCTTTTCAGGTTCAGACATTTGTCCTAGAAACAGCTTTTGTAACACTCAAGTCTCCTGCCAACTTATGGACCCAACCTTGCAAGAGTATCTGCAGTTTCCTTGTCATTATGGAGCAACATTAAATATTAGAAGTTATTGTAAGACCCTGAAAAAAATTATGGTGAACTATTCAAAACAAAAGACATGGTATCTGGAAAATTTTGCTTATAATAATACACAACCATAGTCTGCCAGTAATAAACAGGATTTATTGAAAAAGTTCAAGTAAAAAAATCTCTGAATATGTGCCATAGAATTCCAATCTAGTACCTTCTGACTTACACCTGTTTCCACATTTAAAGAGATTTTTTCGGAGAACGACAATTCAACAATGACAAAAAGCTGCAGACAACAATGCAAGGTTGGATCTAAAAGTTGGCAAAAGACTTCTTTGATGAGTGTTTGCAAAAGCTTTTCTATTGCTATGAAAATGTCTGAACCTCAACAGGTAAATATGTTACAAAATAACACCTTTATTGTCATACATAAATACAAAGTTCAAAGAAGTACAGCGGAACCCCGGTTAACAAACTTAATTCGTTCTGCGACTCCGTTCGTTAACTGAATTGTTCGTTAACCGAAACAATTTTTCCCATAGAAATTAATGCAAATGTAATTAATCCGTTCTGGTCTCCGAAATTTTTGTGATTTTATATGTAATATACAGTAATTTTCTTTGATGAAAATGTAGGAAAACATAGTGTCCATCATTACAGCAACAAACATGTAAACTTTGTTTAATAAAATAGCACTGTACATATCTTCGTTTGTTGTAGTTGGTGGCAGAAAAGTGGAGATATACGAACCTTAATGCTTAGAAGGGAAATCCCCTCCAAAAAAAATAACGGGTAGCACTTCATCAGAAGATTCTTCGAGTCGAAGTCTCTTTCGGTAAAAAAAACCTACCAGTGGCTAAGTGGTCTTCATACCTTGAACACGGGGAGTTTGTTTGTGGGTTCGCACCTCTCTCAGATGGGCTGGCCACGTGGAGTTTTCCAGGTTTTCTCCACGTCTGTAACGCCTAAATAGGGGCCAGTTTCCCTTAAAAACACCTCCCAGAAGGCATTCCCCTAGACAGATCGCCCCAGTGTTGCATTGCCATAACTTAACAAACAAACAAACTCTTTCCATAAGGAACAAGAAATTGATTGTCTTACTCTTTTAATCAAAATTTTTCTCAAATGCGATAACGCATTGTCGTTTATATTGCATTGTCGTTTTCTAATGCCACTATGACTTTTTTCTTTCTTTGATGCCGTATTGATTAAATATATAAATCACAAAACTGAAAAAAGAAGTATAGCACAAACACTCGGAAAAGCAATGCTTAACTTGCACATTCCTAACACCAACAAAAATTTGACATAAAATACCGTTAAGTTCGTTATCCGAGACAAAATTTTTGCAAAATAAAAGTTTGTTAACCGATTTGATCGTTAACCAGGACGTTCGTTAACCGGGGTTCCACTGTACGTTTATGTTCCCTTCTAGCCAGATAACATTTAATTTCTGGATGACCATACATCAAGTTTTTAGCAATTTTATCAATCTTGATATAGTAGAGAACTATTATCAAATAACCTGAAGTTTAATTATCTTAATATTAAATTTTAATTGCTAGAGAATACAAGAAAAAAAAGAAAATTAAAAAAAATTATTGTTGTTTGATTTATGACAATAATGCATGAAAATTGAGAATATCCAAAGAGAAAGATGCTTTTGGAAAGATAAACATTCAACTTCTTGTAAACAGATAAAAAGTTTCACTAATATAAACATAGCATTTATGTAATTTTTATATAAAATTTTTAAATATTTAAATAATAAAAACATACATTAAGTTTTATTCATTTTAACTTAATAAAATGAATAAAACACAATGTGAAAATACTCTTTTAACAAACTGAAATCATTTTCAACTAATTAAGTTCTGGTAGATAATCAATTTAAATTGCTAATACACTATCATTTCAAGAAAAGGATCATCATCAATCAAACAACAATTTTTATTTAACATTTTACATATATATAATATTTCAAGAATAAGATATATAATTTAAAGATATAGTAAAAGAAAACTTGTATATCCATTGGATTGATAACAACTGTCAATGACAGTCTACAACCATATTAAGTAGCTAATGTTGATTTAATGTGATGACTTAATTAAATCAGCACATTGTGTGTATTAGTAAATCAACACTAATTTTTCTCACTCTGTCTACAACTGATGCCAACAAAAATGCCATTTCTGGTTTTTATATGCATAAACAAAAGAAAAAAGTATAAAACTCATTAGGATAGACAAAGTTATTGCATTATTCATGGAAGAAAACTTAAAATAACACAGAATGGTAATGAATGAGAACAATAAACTTAAAAGTAAAAGTCAGTGGACTGAAAAGTTTCCAACAGATTAATCTTTTTTAAGAATAATACATGAAAAAAATAGAATAAATCTAGTAGAGAAAAGTTGCAATTTGATGAAATCTAGCTTATTATCCAGATTTCAATATGCTCCTTCTCTTTTGTTCTGTTTTTTTTTTTTTACAGATTTATGTGCATTATTCAATTCAGCTAGTTTTCAGAAAGTATAAAGTTTTTATAGCTGTTATTTTACTAACATTTAATATGAATTAAATGCTATTTCAATTCTTTAAATTATGATTTAATTAGCAATTTGATCAATAAGCAAACAACAAGAAAACATTTAGATTCCTTTATTAGTTTGTTTAAATGCTTACATAAAAACCTGTAACAATTTCAATTGTTTCAGCATGTCTTACAGATTAGTCATCAAAATACAATAATTAGTAGCTTAATTGTAAATTTAAATATTAACAAGTTACAATTTCTATTCTTTTTTCTTAACCACTATCACTTCCCTGTAACCAATCTTAAGTATGGTGTTGAATCCCTTTAAAACTATTTAAGACCATACTTGTTTATTTCCTTTCTATGCTAATTACAGTAAAGAAACAAACTAGATTTAATAGATTTTGTAATGATAATATGAATGCTTGCAATTTTGATAATAAAATAAGACAACAAAAAACACACTAATATAAATTAGAAAATTAATTTATATTTGATCAATAAAACCTAAGTACTGTTAATTAAAAAATTCTTAACTTAGGCATAATTAATATTTATAACAATTTTTATATATACTGTATATGTTTTTCCTTAAATCTTTATTAATATGTTATGTCTAGATATCTTTAGATCAGCTGTTCACAATACAGATATGCTGCTGCCTTCCAGTATAGAACCATTATTATAGTACTTATGAGTTAGAATAGTTAGTTTTCAACCAGTGTGCCACAGCACAATGATTGAGAATCACTGCTTTCAACAATGGATTAAAAAATGTTCAATCTTTCAGCTAAATGTACCACAAATAGCAAATATTGATAGTATGGTAAAATGCAATCTTAAACTGGATAAATCAGATCAATAACAGAATATTTTTAAAATAATTTATAGATTTATTTATGAACTTATTCTGCTACTGAGGCAGTATTCTACATAATTTCTCTTAGCAACAAAGTTTAATTATCATCATCATCATCATCATCATCATCATCATCATATACAAATGACACTCATTCCTATTCTTCAGTCAGTGCAAGTTACAAGTTGTTAACATTAACATCTATATTTGACCATAATTTGTATAACTATGTTCCAATTATACATCACAAAAACGAAATCAAGAATATTGAGCAATGATATATGATCAAGTTGTGTTAAATTTGAAAAAAGTGCTTCAGAAATGCTTGACATGTTAAATTAAGAAGTGTATCTAGAAGCACAGCACAAACTTTTAAGGAGAATTAAGAAGACATTGAAGACAAATTCTGGACAATGTTCTGGACAATGTCCATATCAAGAATGGATGAAAACTGACCTAAATTTTTAAACAATGAAATAAATTTTCAATCTGCAGGCAGTGTTGACTGACTAAGATGTCTGATGGCAAGTGGGCCTCCTTAGGCTGTGTACACATTAGGCATTTTTAAACATGCGTTTTAAAGAATCAAGAGTTCTGCATAGGCATACATACTCAAATGCACGCTTTTGGCCAAGCGCGCATTAATTGATTTTTGTTAAAACGCGCGTTTTATGGGTGTCAGCCGCGCGTTTTGAGATATATGTGCTGCCATGTTGTTGTACATTTGATCGCACTATTTCGGGTAGAGTGGACGTACGTTGGCCGAATTGGAGAATGATCATTTCGATACTGATCTATTTATTGATGAAATCTAAAAGAGACCAGCCATCATCAAATGATTTTATAGATATTCTAAAAGAATTTAAAAACTTGGGTTCATATTGTCTTAGTTTTGGATACAATGTCAGAAACATTCCATGCATCAGTCTATCTCGTAATATTGGGTGCACCCAAAATTCTCTTTGCCTCTGCCATTGTCTTTTATAGCGACGATGGAGGAGGCACATACAAGCAATTACTTTCACGTCCATTTCCAAACTGAGGCAGTGCTAATGCTCCACTA